GCCAGAAACTGGTTGGAACCCGAAGCGCTCGCCTCAGAGAAGCGTCCGGTCCCCCTCCCAAAAACAGAATGTTCCAGAGCAGTAAGGTGTCATGTCTATCCTGGCACCGACAGCCCAGCCATAACCACTATCTTCTTCTATGCCTACTGTCGTGGCAAGTTAGCTCAGGTAACAGGGAAGGATTGCAGTATTCAAGGCTGAAGTCGACTGTGTGTGCGAGAGAAAGAAAGACAGAGATTGAAATGAGAATGCTGAAGGCTTTTGGACCACAAAGAGTAGCAAATATGACAACTTTGATATAGCGAGGGGCTAAGCTCAGAACCCCATCCACTCTTTTTTGGTCCCAAGGTTCGGTAACACAGAAAGGTTGCAGTTTTCAAGGCTGAAGTAGCCTGTGTGATGTACACACATATATAAGAACTTTTGTGTAGGTTGATTTAATGTTTGTTTTTTTTTGATGCGTTTTTGTTTTTCTTTTGATCACTGCTTCGAGTTGGACTATTGCGCTTCCCTCCATGCGTTTGGGTCCGTTTATTTTTTTTGATTCATTTTTGTTTTTTCTTGATCCTCAGATTTATAGTTTTTTTGATTCATTTTATTATTTTTTTGATCCCTGGCCCCTTTAAGGGAGTAAGCTACTAGCTACTTAAACTACTAGACATGGACACAGGATAGCTCACACTTCCTTGAAGAAGTGCTCGCACTAATGATTTGGTTCCTGCCTAAAATGACTCTCTCTGTTTTTATAAACAATCACAATCCTTAACAGCACTATGAAGCCATTCTGGCAGGTACTACATTACGACTGCGATTGCTTATTGCAATGGGTGGCCTCACATAGGCATAGAAGAGCTTCGTTGGGACATTCAGAAGTTTCAGTCTGTTGGTGCATGCCGTCAGCTGAGTGACGCCTTCCAGCGGAGCATTAAGTCTGCTATATTATAAGCAAGACATGATTGTTAAAGAGCTGCGTTACGTTGGAATGTTGAAATGCTGTGGTTACAAGATGGGATTGCGCATTGTTTAGCGAAATATTGGTGTGTGAAGTTGGACAAATATTACGCGGCTAATGCGTTGTCTGAGAAAATCGTGTTTACATGGTGGGACTATAGTCTATAGTGCCACAAAACCGACCTTTACTTTGTTTTCATATTGCATGTGCAAAGCAAAAGAAACAAAACGACACGAATGGCACAGCCTGGCACAGGCCATGGCTACGAGTTTCTGACCTCTGACGTTTTTGCGAGGTGATGGAATATGTTCATTTTTCACGTAGAAGAGCGTATATATGTTTGAAAAGAAGAGAACATATATTAACAAAGGAAGGTAAAGGCCCCTTAGGGGGCTCCTAAAAAACAGTTTTTTTTGCTGTTTTTTGTTTTCACATGTCATATTTCTTGCGGAGGTATCATCGCATGCTTGGAGAGGATGTTTTTTTCATGACGGGTGCTGACGAGCACGGGCCGCATTCCCAGCAGAGAAACGGTTTTAGAAGTCCGCACTTTGATGTTGCGGGGCAGGAGAGGTCTGGACTCAATACTTCACCAAGTGCTCAGATATAGAGCATGCCTCCAAGGCAAAAAATCGCACAAGTGGCTGAGAACGAGGGTCTGCAGCCGATCCAAATGTGCGACCGCTACTGTTGTGACCCCAATCCTTTTGCACACAAAGCAAGAAGTCGTGCTGTGACCCACCAATTGACGTAGCTTTGTCTGACGTGACGCAACATGTGTCTCAGCTCTCAGCTTTCACCTGCGTCCAAGGCATGGGCTTTCGTGCATTGAACCAACGCTTGAATGTGGGTGCCTCAGACGAAGGTTAACTTTGCGTCAAAGCAGAGTATCGACAAAGTCGTGCTGACCACGAGTCGACACGTGTTGGAGAAGCCAGCGCCCGAATGCACGACCTACTAACATCCCAGTCTCAGACCCCGCGAAAAACGAAGCTCATTTGATACATGCAGCGACAATTTCCGGAAGGCAAGTAGATAGGTGCGCAACACTTGTAGGAAGCTTTTGCGTAGCACTCCTGCGTGACACTCTCGGACATTTTGTAGTACACTTTGTCAACACATTTCCAGGCCGCTTTTGTACGACAATCTTGAATGACACTCCTTGTATATAAGATTCTTTCAGGACACTCTTGTGGGACACGTACACGTGTGATACTCTTCCAAGACACTGACTCTTCTATATAGATACCGCAAGATGCACTTTTGGACTCTTCTCCGTCATTCTTTTGAGCCATTCTTTCGAGGACACTTTTGTGCAGCATTCTTAAAACTTTTGGGACACTCTTGTGCGACATGCTTGCAGGACACTCTCCGAGGACTCGTTTTTAGATTTTTTGGAAACGGGAAACTCTTCCAAGGGCACTTTTGGGAAAGCTCTGGAAGAGGCCCTTGCGAGGATACTCCTTCCGCTGCCACTCTTGTAGGACACTGTTGTGCAACAAATTTCTTTGCTCTTGTTTGGCACACTCGCTTGACACTCTTGTACGACACTGCTCTTGTGGGACACTCTTGTTCGACACTCTTGCGGGAAACGGATTACACTTTTGCAGGGCACTCTTGCAAAGCAGCGGAAAGTGTTTTTGTTCAAAGTAATATATATATACACATACTGTATGGCTGTTCAAAGTGAGCTTTTTATGTAGCGCTCACGCATCGTGCGCCCTTGCCAAGGCTTTTGCAACCCAAACACCTCCAAAGATTGTCCCTCAAAGGCAAATCCCAATGGCACCTTCAGCAAATGTCGCAACCCCGCGATTCTGACGCCTGCCACGAAGATAGCAATCCAATCACTCCCAAGACGCACTTAGTACTGCGCCCAGTTTCCCACCAACATCGAGGAACGAATGATATAATATATATATATATATTTATCTCTTTTTTAACAATGAAAGACAACATAATACATAATACAAATATATATATATATAATAAAGCCACGAAAGCCAGCCGATAGTCTAGGCTGGAGTTGTCGATGGGCGAACGAAGTGGGTATAAGGGGGAGTGGTGGGGGGTGGTTGCAAAGTGGGCCCAGCTGGGTGAACCCAGAGCCTGGTGGGGGAGAGCGAAAAAAGAGGCGGTCCGGAAAGTAGTGAACATGTATGCTTTAGGGGGTCTCGGTGATGCGAGTGATGCAAATGACGCTGAATAGTGCATCATTAGCTTCATGAAGTGCTCAGGAGACTATATACTTTGACTGTCTATTGACTAGGGGTGGGAGTTTGGGTAGAGGACAGGAAAGGAGATTGCGTGACAGGAAATGCAAGAAAAGAGGTCATCCCACACTGAAAATCTATTTCTGATAGAGATAGCGTTCGGACGGCGCAGGTGGACATTTGCGGTTTCACTTTACAGTTGCGTCTTGATATGGGATTTGCTCCTTAAAGCGGATACCCCATATTGAGGGGGCTCACCAGATTTAAAGCAACCTTTGAGTTGCTAGGCCCCCCCAATGTCTTGCTCAGCTCAACCTTTGTCCTAACGCGTAGCAGTGGGTGGGGCTTGATCAAGGCATTGTATATCAAGAGCCTTCTATTTCCGCGTGCCTAACAGCAGTAGACAGTGCAATGTCGACTTCGCCCCATAACAGCAGTAATCTTTGCTCGATGTTAAACATTCGTCGGTCCACTTTTAGCAGCGCGCCGAGTTTATGAGTCCGATGCAAGACAAGGAAAGAAACGGCAGGCAAGCGCCCCTCAGTTACTTAGGGGTGCCCCTGAACCAAAGGACAAAGGGCGCCCCCAATTCAACCCTCATCCCCCCACACTGTAACGTGCCTGCTCAATCCAACCTTTCTCCTAACGCATGGCCGCATGGGATCCACTTCTATCCTATTACCGCCTATTACCGCGCGCACACTGAACGGGCCTCGACCAAAACCTTGCGTATAAAGAGCCTATCCCATCGGCCCTCAATGCGAGACTTTGCACCTCTCTGCTTTCTATTTCCCCGGGCCTAACAAGTAGAGGTCAGTGCAATGTCGTTTTCACCCCACAACAGTATTCGTTGCTCGATGTTAGGCAATCACGTGATCTTGGCAGTAAGCTTTCATCGGTCCACTCTTAGCAGCGTGCCGAGTTTATGAGTCCAGGTACAAGACAGGAGAAACAAAGAGCAAGCAAGCCCCCCTCAGTTACTTAGGGGCGCCCCTGAACCAAAGGACAAAGGGCGCCCCCAATTCAACCTTCATCCCACCGAACTGTAACGCGCCTGCTCAATCCAACCTTTCTCCTAACGCATGGGCTCCACTTCTATCCTATTACCGCGCACACACTGAACGGGCCTCGACCAAAACCTTGCTTATAAGGTAGAAGTCACGAAAGTGATATCGTTTTATAGCCCTCCCCCTGAGTAGGGAGCTCCGCGACCGGTTCAAAAAGAAAAGAAAAGAAAAACGTGAAAACAAAATTATGTGTGTTTCTCATGTATGTCAAGCGCAAACGTGACATTTCGAATGTTGAATGTATGAGTTCAATAAACGACATTGACAATATGTATGCGCCGAATCCGCAGCATTGGGATGAGGAGGGTGGGTGCCTCGTAGAAACGAGAACCTCTCGTGCGGGCGCTGGTGTGCATGGTCTGCGCGGGTGCCCTTGTCAAAGGGCGTGCTGCCTTTGATACCTGGACTTTTTCTCCGGTTTCGCCGCCCAGTTTTTGGCGCTTCGTCGTCGTGTTTGGCCTCGGTTGGATTTCGTGCTTTGTGTGGTTATTGTATGCCCCACTCCTTGGTGGTCTTTGACCTGTGGCGCACTCAACGAGGCTTCAACAGTTGCACCTTTCTGGATTTTGTTTGGCGACGTTGGAGTTGTGAGGTTCTCATTCTCTCCTTTCTGTCCGCGGGGGACCGGGCCTTTTTCGCACGCTGTTGTGTGGTGTGCTTGCTGGATTTTGGTGATTTGTCCTTGGCCATTACAGCACGCAGGGAACAATTGAGCACTTCCGGCTGGACAGTTCCCACTCCACCACTGGCGAGGGCCCTTTCCTCGAACAGCCATGACCTCAGCTCTGAAGCGGACTAGGGATGAGTCAGATTCTACAGAGGCAACTTTATGCGATGAATCCATGAGCCTACATTTGTTGACATGCCAGAAGTCTGCAAAACATGTTTTCTCGAACAACTTAAAGATGCCTTGGGATCATAGCTTTGTCGGGCCATCAGATCTTTTTGCAAAACGTCTTGAAATGCCATTGCCTGTGAAAGAGTTGATAAAGACCGCAAACGACGCAGAGCCTAGTTTGGCTGAACCCATGCGTGAGTGTTCCACGTCAGCCTTCAAACAAGCTGGGTTAAAGGTTTTGCGGTCTTGTGATGAAAGACTCTGGAATGAAAGATTGTCCTCAGAGCGGAAAGCAGCTGTCCGTAAGTGGATGACCTTGGTTGCAGCGGAGCCTTCGGCTTGGGACATTGCAGTTAGGCATTTCTCGCAAGGCAAGATGATTTTTGCCTCGGACACATTGGCAGGAAGCTCCAAAGGCATCGAGTACGTTGCAGAATCGTGCAAATCCCTTGTTCAGACTTATGAGTTTTTGCAAACAGTTGGGAACCCCGGCGTGGCCTGTCAGGGAAGCAGTTGTTTACCACTTTCTCAAAAGCCGAGACGACTTCGCGCCTACATTCCCTAGGAGTTTGTTGCTTTCACTGTCCTTTGCAAAACACACATTGGGCTTGAGAGGCGAAGTTGACATTACGTTGTACGGTCGAGTCAAGGGTGTTAGCCATGCATGGTTCTTGAAAAAGAGAAGGCTTGTGCAGAAAGCGCCACTCAGTGTGGCCCAGTTGTGTCATCTCGAGAAGGTGGTCGAGGATGAGCGAAGGGACATCGCTGACAGGATTGCAGCCGGCTTCTTCTGCTTCGTAGCGTATAGCAGAGCTCGATACAGTGATGCGCTCAATGTCTCATCCTTGAAGCTGGACGTGGTCGACGAGTCTGGAAAGAGATATGGCTTCCTTGAAGCTCAGGCTGCCAGAGTGAAGACGAGCTTGACCCTCGAGAAGAAGACTATGTTTTTGCCCATGTCGGTCCCCGTCAATTCGGTGTCAGGACTGGATTGGGCCAGCGCTTGGATGAAGCTGAGGACTGATGAGTCGCTCCAATGTGGGGAAGGCAAACCTTTGTTGCCTGCGCCTGGAGAAAACAGACAGTGGTCCTCTCGGTTCCTTTGAGCGCGAGTAGTGCTGGCATGTGGTTGAAGAGCCTAGTAGAAGGGGTTGCGGGACCGCCTTCAAAGGACTTGGGAACACATTCATTGAAAGCCACTCTGCTGAGCTGGTGCAGCAAACATGGATTGGACGTGGTAGTCAGGCGTGCGTTGGGATACCACACATCTTCGGCAGATCGGAGTGTCTTCACTTACAGCAGGGATGCATTGAGTGGACCTTTGCATGAACTGCAGACAGTCATTGATCAAGTGGCAAACAGCACCTTTCGACCGGATGCTACTAGGTCTGGATATTTTGTCGACGAGGACGGCCGAGAAAAGCGGTTGCCACAAGAAGAGTTGCTTGCAGAGACGTCTAGTGAATCTTCAGCGGATGAGGACGAACCTGACTTCGATGAAGAGGAGGCTGCCATTGAAGAAGTCGTAGGCGAGTGGCAGGGTAACAAAGCAACTCCATGGATGTCTTTGGCAGCAGTATATTTTCGGCATTCGACCAGTAGGTGCATCCATGTATTGAGAGACGAAAGTGGTGCTGAATTTTCGTGTGGACGTAAGATCACTTCGGCATACCTTCGATTGAGCGCCAAACCCAAATTCCTCCATCCCACGTGCGCCACATGCGAGCG